GTAAGAGAGGCAAATCTTAGGTGATTTGGCCGTGTTCTGCGGAGCGACGTTCAGTACATCGGTAAAAGAATGCTGAAGGTGGGGTTGCCAGGTAAGAGAAAAAGAGGAAGACAAAAAAAAAAGGTTTAAGGATATAGTTACAGAGGACTTGCGAGAGGTCGTGGGACAGAGGTGGTGGATGAGGAGAAAAGGAATTTTAAAATGATGATCTGCGACTCACGAAAGCAACCAAAAGAAGTAGAAAACACACACACAGATATATATATATGTATATATATGTATATATATACATATATATATATATATATATATATATATATATATATATATATATATATATATATATTTATATATATATATATATATATATATATATATATATATATATATATATATATATATATATATATATATTTATATGAATATATATATATATACACACACACATATATATATGAATATATATATATATATATATATATATATATATATATATATATATATATATATATATATATGTATGTGTGTGTGTGTGTGTGTGTGTGTGTGTGTGTGTGTGTGTGTGTGTGTGTGTGTGTGTGTGTGTGTGTGTGTATATATATATATATATATATATATATATATATATATATATATATATATATATATATACATATATATATATATATATATATATATATATATATATATATATATATATATATATATATATATACAACAAAAATCACACATAGTAATTTACAGAACTCAAATCAGAAAGGAATCACTTTCTTTTTAAGAAGTGAAATTCACAGTGGAGAAGAATCCTTCATAATAACCGCCTGATTCCAGTCTAACGATTCTTGCTCCATGAAGAAAACACCAATATGGAAATCATCGCAACTTTATATATACGAAAAGAAATCATAACACGAATTAAAAGCTGAACTAATGTTTAGAAAGAGTGGTTTAGGGCTCATACCCCTGCAGAAGAGAACGCCGCTATTCCCTCCCGGTTTCCGAATAAGCGACCGTGGTTTCTGCTGCCCGAGTCCCGTCCAGCCGCGGCCGCCCCCCTCCAGGAAATGGCCCTGGACGAGACTGCAGCTCGCCTTCTCTGCGTAATGAGGTTTCTACGCCAACGCACACACAGTATGCGCAGGCGGAACTCTCGGCGATTTAATTTTTTCTACTTTATTTCATTTTAGTTTAGTTCTATTTTATTTATCATATTTGGCTTTATTTTTTGTTTTACTCTGGTCCAAAAGTCAGCATTTGTTTTTACTTGTGACGTCCTCTGGATGGGCTCTATGTATACGGGGACAAAATATTTGGTAAGGTATATTGCATCTGTGTTTAGCTCTTAAATTCATATCGTTATTGCCGTTATAATTTCTGTGGCGACCCCTGAGGGAAGAAGCCGAAAGAATGATAATGTTGATGTAAACACACACACACACACACACACACACACATACACACACACACACACACACACACACACACACACAAACACGCACGCACGCAACAAACATATATTTCTACCACACGTTGCTGTGCAGTCCTGGATTACTGTAGAATATTTGTTTTATTCCTGCCACTTACTATGTCATGCTACAGTCATCAAATTTCGTATTTTCCAGAAATGCTTAGTACACGCTTTATATCAAGAACCCTGTTGCCTATTCCATTTTCTCTTTTTATCATCACCTACACTCCTTAGTCTCTTCCCATCAAACCCTTCTGAAGTCAGCATTCAGTAACGGATTTTGAAATAAGTACTATTACTCAACCAACATAATTAATTACTAACAAGCCAGTCATCCAATACTTCGGATTTTGGAGTCTCATTCATAATCAGTATTTTGTTTTAGGATTGGCTCTATTACTACACCCTCAAAAAATGAATACTAAAAACAAACAAAAAACATTTATGAAAATAAATCGGGGTGAAGCGAGAAAACATTTAACAGTATTTGGAAAACACAAAATGCAATTCATGGACACGACTTTGTATTAGGATTTTAACGCTGTTCGAGGTAATGAAGCTCCGTGGTGCTTTCGGAGTGTCAGGCAGGCGTCAGACTTTATAAGAATTCCTTTCTTATTTTTCTGAAGGACTAGAATTCTGAGAACTTGAGACTATTCATCGAAAGTTTAAGAAAAAAGAAATCAGTATTATTGTTACCGATTGATTAATGTGATTTCTAGGTAATTAAGCTTGTAAAATATTCTTTCTAATTATGCAGCCCGTGTAAGAGACGGCCATTCAATTCCGTTTTTCACGCATATTCTTCTATCAAAACATTCTCGTGATGGCTGGCGCATTCTGAGAATTCTTGTATTGACTTACATTACGTAGTACGTAGAGACTGAGACAAAATGTTCACTTTCTAAACATTTTCGCCTTCTAATTGCTGTAGTTATTCGGCTTAAATGAGCGAACTTTAAATGGACAATTCATATCCATCGAACATTAATAATTACATTCTGCTACGGGTTGCGGAAGAACACATACACGATACTTAAAACATTTTATTAAATGGTTTACATTTGTACACCAGTGTTGATCCTCTCAACGAAAAAGAAAAAAAAATGCCTATAGCAGGTGTGACGTCATCAAACTAAGAACGATGGGAAGGCGAACCAACCCTGTCCTGTTACTTTCTTAAACTTTGGCTTAATAGTAAAGAAAAGGAATTTACACAGCAATTAAAGAAAATACGAAGAGGACAAAAAATAGAGTTTAAAACAACTGCACGAAGATCTACTTCCACCTTATCCTGTTGTACAGAGACTGACACGTCACGGCAGGTCTGGTCAGGGCGCGGGACAAAGAAAATCCACGGGGAACGAGACAGAAGACTAAAGAAATGCAGACGAGGAAATACAAGTAGAAAGCAGCCTTACACTTCATAGAAAAAACTTCTATAACAATACCCTTTGTATAAAGTTCAACTGTCTTTAAGACACTTTATGCAGTATTCAACACCTCAGCCGAGGGGGGGCGGGCTATTGACAATGGCAGTAGTGGAACAATTACACAGTCCTCGTGCTCCTCCGTCCCGGCAGCCGCGTAACTGCCCATTGAAAGACTCGGCCAGCAGCCTCCTCGCGAGACGCTCAGAAGCATGCGTTTGGTGCCCGGGGAGCCGGCGGCCGCGCGTCCCGAGCCGAACACTTAGTCATGCTAGTAGTAACGACAATATTAATGGCGGTAATGACAGTAATTAAAAAAAATACTTTCTAGCTACACGAGCCCTCCAGCGCTCGCTCGCGCCCCAGCACCTAGTCCCTCTTCCTCCTCTTGTCGCGGTCGTCGCGGCCGCGGTCCTCCCCGTCGGCGTTCCTCTTGCTCGCCTTCTTAGCCTCCGTCAGCAGACCGATCACGCCGAACAAGTCGTCCTCCTCCTTCTCGTCTCCGGCGCCGGACCGCTGGAACTCGACGGGGCCGGAGCGGCTTGCGCCGGCGTCGGCCCCCGAGAAGCCGCGGTCGGGCACGAAGCGGTTGGTGGACATGAGCGTCTCCAGGTCGGCGCCGTACTCGTTCTCGGCCGCGCGCGTCGGCCGGTACAGGCTGGAGCCCAGGTTGCTGTTCTCGCGCCACGGCCGGTCGTACACGTTGTAGGATTCGTCGTCGCCGAAGCCCGTGTCCATGCCGCGCTGGTGGTTGAACAGCCGCTGGTCGAACTGCGCCTCGCCGCCGCCGGCCGTCTTCTGCGGCAGCCCCAGGGCGATCTGCTCCGTCACGTCGCGCTCGCGACTCGTCAGTTTGCCGCGCTTGTCGGCCGCAGAGTTGGCGATGGCGCTCTCCCTCTTCCGGTCGCTGCAAGGCAAGGGGACCGGTACACATTAGGATAATGCTTTTCGTTCGGAGGCGATGTGCTAGAGTTCGCCTTTCCCAAAATTTTAATGAAAGTATATTTCCTCCTCGTTTTACACTGCGATATAAAGACTACTAAAACTATAATAAGAAAATAAACAACTGAATAATCATTGATCCTAAAAGCAAGAAGGAATCCTCCCTCACCGCGAGCGGTCCTGCCGCAGCTTCTCCCTCTCCCTCTCGGCGTCGTCCACCGGGCCAGCTGCAGCAGGGCGAAGACCCGCGTTCTCCTCGCGAGCCTTCTTGGCCAACTCCTTGAGGTTCTCCTCCTTGCGCACCTGCTCCTTCGCCTGCAGCTTCTTCTCGATCTGGGCTCGCATCTCCACCTGCACAATGTCAGAAGGGAATGGTCACTTGGTTACTTGGTGTAAATTTAAGCAGTGGCTCGTGAGTGGCTCATGCTAAGGCCATCCTGGGCGCCGCCCTTATACGACACTCAGCAAGGCAAGATTGGCATGGTGTGAGGGCTAAGGAATATAACAGAGCACGTTTTATGTCTTCCCGCTTTGAGGAGCGCATGGCAGAAAGAGAAATATACAAAGGCTTCCAATGCGGTTACTGAGAAGCAAAATGGCAGGCTCAGATAGGTCTCATTCAAAACACTTTAAGTCTGCAAAGACCAAGATGCAGTGACCCACCTGTTCTCGCGCCTTTCTGTCAGCAATGTAGAGGGCCTCAGCCAACTTTGCGAAATTTTCATTGATGTGAACTGACTGCAACCCTCTGCCGTCAGCCGCCAGACGTTTGTCGAGGGGGATGGTGTAACCCTTGGCGTTCTTCCAGTTGCTGACGCAGGGCGGTATTCTCCACTCTTGCTGTTCTTTGACTGTGACCTGGGAGGGACAAATTGAGAGGAAACTGAACAAAGAGGGTACGGAGGTTTTAAGAATAAGGAAATACTCAGGATAATATCAAAAATACCCTCAGCAAGATATATGAAAATGGAAAAGTAAAATTCAGAAATCCTTGGAGAGGAAATACTTCATTCACTCACACAAATTACTTCTTTACAGATATATGAAACAAAACCACAGTAAGGAAAGAAGTAGTGTGATATACATCCTTGTTTCTTAATTATTACAGCAATTTTCCTTCCATTTTCACACACCCCGATGAAACTGTATTTCTATGATAACATCCCACCCTGATTCATACAAGCATATGCTGAATATAAATCTCATACAAAGGGCCTTGGGCAAAAACTGCAAATCCAGATCTATATCTATCTACCCCCTGCATCCTCCCCTGCACGCTCACGTACACAGCAGCGCCTGGCTTACCTTCCTTGTTGGTGAATGCATGACAGGTGCTGGTGGGGAAGGTGGTCCTCGCGGTACTTTCTTGTTGATCCTGGGAAAGACAATCAATATGATCCAAGGTCATATGACTTTCAACATATCTGGGGCTGATGCATGCACATATTTTTGCACACATGCATACATATACATACATACACACTCTCACTCTCTCACACAAATATGACATCCCACCCAAAGATCAATACAAAACAATCTGACATCAACACAAATACAGCCAATGAATCGAACAAAAAAGAAAAAGAAAAACACAATATAAAACAGCTTCAAATTACACTACTACTACTATTTGCAATAACTCACTTGAACTTGGGTGGTTCCATGGGGTCTTTTGGCTGCTCGACCATGCGAATGACGCGCTGTGTTGCACCGGAGTTGAAGGAGACGCCTTGTTGTGACGGGGTGTAGCGGATGTACTGTGCAGGGGCTTGCTTCTCTGCACACCTCACAGGCATTGCTGATGATATTTTACCCTGGAGAGTGAAGAGCGAAACTGAATGAGATCAATTATTATCTAATGAGTTTTTCCAGTTTCCACAGTGTTATATGCGGGTAAATTTAGTTCACATAATACACTTAAAGTATAAAAGAATTGATAACCAGTTAGGTCATTTGTGGCTAACTCTGGAACCAGACTCAGATCCAGGATTACCATTACCTTGGCCCAGCTTAGGTCCTCTATCTGACTGACTATGGAAGATACAGCTTCTCTGGCTGTTTTTTTTTTGTGGGGTCAATAAAAATCAACAGCTTATAAAATTATAGTCATGCATGACAGCCAATAATCTATATATTTTTTAAACTCTACACAGAACAGCTGTATCAATTCTTTAAAAAATCAACTGGTCTTTTGGGCTTCAGGTTTTCTTACTTGTTAAAATAATGTATGTATGTATGTGTGTGTGTGTGTGTGTGTGTGTGTGTGTGTGTGTGTGTGTGTGTGTGTGTGTGTGTGTGTGTGTGTGTGTGTGTGTGTGTGTGTATGTGTGTATGTATTTATGTATTTATGTATTTATGTATGTATGTATGTATGTATGTATGTATGTATGTATGTAATATAATATAATATAATATAATATAATATAATATAATATATATATATATAAGAAATCAGGAGAAACATTATAGAGGCCCTCAAGTCTTATGTTTTGAAGAGAGCCCAGAGATCCCTTGTCCCAGTGAACACTACTGTAATGTAAACAATAATAAATTGATGCAACCAAAAACCTAACTGAGTGACAATAGAAATGGCTGAGGGACCAGAGCTGAGTATTTGAAATAAGACTAAAGCTTAAGCTCATCTGAAGTAATGTTCTTTTAAAATGCTTTCTGATACTAAGACAATACACTATGCACTATGAAAGTTGTTACAACACTATGTATTAATCAAACTAATAGTGTCAGCCTGGGATTCTTATATATCTGAGAAGATGGTGCAACTTATACTAATCTAATTTAGAATAACAACTGATTGATTTACATTTATGATCTTTCAAAAGGAGTATTTTCTCAGTTAGTATAAAAGTAAAGCTTCTAAAATGTCTCAAAAAAAATTGCCGAATCTAAACCCTAAAGCTGCAATGCTGTGCCTCACCTGCGTCAGCTTTTCCAGAGCCTGCCTAGTCTTCTCGGTGTTCTCTTCGATCTCCTCCATGGAAGGCCGCTGCAGCTCAGGGTCGTCTTCGGAGGTGATTGCCGAAGGAAGCAAGTCGGTCAGCTTGGAGTAGACAATCTGGAAGTAAATGCAGTCTGTTAGTAAACACTGAGAAACTGGTTAAAACTAAAATAACAATGATAATTTAGAAAGCAAATCAAGTATGAATCAAGAAACAAAATACAAATATAAGCATATACATATAAACACTCTATATACTTTTATTCTTTATAAATTAGTAGCTTATAAAAAAATAAATTGTGCATTAAGTTTGTACTGATATATGTCACAAAATTAGCACACATATAAATTTATAAGAGAATTTTTCTGATAACAGTATATGGCAAGTCAACTACCTATTAGCAATATTTACCTTCTAAAAGAAAACAAGTACATATCAATACAAAGACTTACTATTATACTAACTTTCCCCTATGATTAATTATCTATTCTATTCCGTTTACCTCTTCAACACTTAAAGTGCGTTCATACAAGAATACAAGTGCTGGCTGCTGTGGTTGCTTACTCACCCTTACACAGAAGGCTACACAAGCGCTTAGGCCTCGTCACAAAAGAGTTTGTTACATGGACTAACTCATCTTTACTATTTACTTAAAATCCTTGAATTTTTGCAAAAGTTATTTTTTATATCTATTATCATTGCT